TTACGCCTGTAGTCAGTGGCTCGACACATCTCCCTGTACAGGAAAGCCAAAACTGCTGAGCCCCAACTAAGTGATCCGACTAGATGAAAGTCGACAAGATGTCGCAACCACATACAGTGAACTTGGTTGCGCGATTTGTCTGGCATCAACAACCCTCCTATCAGCTGCAGTATGCATGCCCGTGCATATATTTTAACTTCATCATCTGACGCGTCCTCGCTCAACTCTCGAAAATTGGCATCTAACCAATTTAACGGTATCCGACCACCGTTAAAACTTTCCGGGACACGTCCTAGATTATCCCGACACAAAGCAGTCCAGGAACCCTGCGTGATCCCCGATATCACATCTCCATCCACCGGAAGCCCCAGGTGCATAGAAACATCCTCAAGTGTAATCGTGCACTCTTCGCATGGAAGATGGAATGTGTGGGTCTCCGGACTCCACCGCTCTACTAAAGCATAAATAAGGTCTGGTTCTATCTTACAGTGACTCTGATATCTACCTATGTAACCGAATCCAACCTCTACTAAATACGGCAAGACATAGCTAGGTATCACTAACTTAAGATTCCCAATAAAAGGATCTAATACACGGTCATTCTCCTAAAATTAAATAATTACAAAAATTAATTCTTAATCTAATAGTCATGCATTAAATAAATCAATAAATTATTACTAATAATTTTAATTAAATTAAAACGTTAAAATATTACCGTATTAGCAAGGTGTCGAGATATATTATTTCGATCCAAGCGAAGTAGACCATCTTCCATTTTATATATGCAAAAAAATTAATTAAGTAAAATATTAAATAAATTAAATACTTAAATAAAAAATATTAAAAATATAATAAAATATACCTTAGACAAAGATTATAAGAGTATTTGAGAGAAGTTGAGAGAATTTGAGAGAATTTGGTGTGATGAAAGTGATTCAGGATGAGGGTATTTATAGGGAGGGATTAGGGTGTGAAATGTCGGGATAGGTGAGTAATTATACTTAAGGCGCATCATGCGGCGCGCCTTACTGACGCGTGGCAGATTCACAGGTAAGGCGCGGCCTCTGCCCCGTGCTATACCCTACGTAGCCTAAAGCGCGCCCCAGGGGCTACGCTATACACACGTGTATCCCATGTCAGCATAAGACGCGCCTCAAGGGGCGCATCTTACCCTACGTGGTGTCAAATCAATGTTAAACGCGCTGCAGTGATGCGTCTTTTTACAATGGGTGTTAAATCAAAATATATAATCTAAACGGTGTCTGATAAAAAAAAATGGTAAACGGTGATATATCGGGGAAATCGGGGAAATGAGCAGCCAAAGGTCCAGCCTGTGACTGAGACATTATTTGTCAAAAATAGTCAATCCCTCGAACAATCTCCACCGTTGGATCTTGATACTCACTCCGCCCATATCCGTTGCACCGCCTGATTGCTCTTCCATTTTCCAATTCAGCTCAACCCAGATTCCCCAAAAACCAAAACAAAAATCAGTACTTTGACATTACCTATATATATATATATATACAGACAGCGAAACAGAGAAGTATAGGTTTCTGAAAGCAAAAATGGCTGAGCACTCTGATGATTTAGATCAACTTCTTGATAGTATGTTTCTGTATCTAAAAGTCTCTCTGTTTATTTTTTTCCTTCCAATTTAGTTTCTTAAAACTTCTGAATTGACCTTTTTTTCCAATTATTATTTCAGGTGCTTTGGATGATTTCCAGAATCTCAATCTCACCTCTCCTCCTCACAGGTATCGTCTTTCTCTTGTGAATTTTTATATTTTTGTCCCCCAATATCCCTTTGTTTCTAGGTTTAAATTTTTGGCCCCAAGCTAAAAATTCCCTTTCTAGCTTTTTCTTCCCCTCAAAAGTTAGATTTTTTATTAGATGTCTTGGATAATATTCTGGTGCATTGCCCGAGGTTTAGTTTTGTTTAGCTTTATATTTGGTTAATAGGTCAGGTGGAGGAGATGGTGAAGCAAAGAAGCAAGAATCTGGTTCTTTACCTAGTGGGGTTCAAGGGTTAGGAATGGGATTGCCTGACTTGAAGAGCAAGAAAAAGGGAAAGCAAAAGGTTTTAAAGGAATCCCATGTCACTGAGGCTCTTGATAAACTCAGAGAACAGACCAGAGAGACTGTAAAAGGATTGGAATCTATGTCGAAACCTGGTGCAGATGATTTTGGTAAAGATGCAATGATGGAGGATTGGGTCAAGCAGTTTGAGGAGCTTGCTGGGTCTCAGGTATATTTGCTTCAATGTGATCTTGTTCCTTTTAATGCTTTGTTTATCTATCTTTGTAATTGTTTGCTATTTTAGAGAGTGTAGTAGGTATTGCATACCTCAGTTTGGTTTTTGCTGTAGTTGTAAATTTGGCTCATTAACTTTAAAACCTGAGAATGAATTGGATTATTCTTGATCCTTGATTCTTATTTCTGAAGTTGGAGTTCAACTATTGCTATTATATATTAGAACATAATTCAATTATTTGGGTGAGATTTACTTGGCTTGAACATTAATTGTCAGCTCTGGATATACTGTTGTCCAGTTGTATGTTGATAATCAAGACTGCTTCCTATTGTTGGTGTGGAGAGGGGGCATGGAACGGGTTCTTTGCATTTGAGAAATGTACATTATATCCTTCATATGTAGGAGTACGGTAATGTCCTTTATATCTGCTCAAAATAAAGTACCTCAAGCTCATGAGTCTTTGAAACTAACCTTCTCCAGCCCCCTCTGAACCCACCTCTCACCTGCTTAAAAACATTTCCTGAAAGAAAAGGGAAACTTTTGTTGATAATTATATTCAGTCTGAGGGCTTTGGGTGCATAAATGATTGTCCATTTGTTGCAAGAGGAGGCAGTGGGAAAAGCCTAAGGAAAATGTTGGCTTTAAGGAGGTAATTGTGTTTTAGCGCTCATCACACTTCTCAGGGCTCGCAAGCCTGGCATCATATGCCCGAAATAGATAGGTTTTCATATGTTAACACATCCTAGTTGAGTTGCATCTGAAAGTTCTAAATTTGTTTGAGTCATATATCCGATTGAGTCATCTAGTAATAGAATTGTAAGTTACTGATTGTTGTATGCGTTCTTGCATGTATGTGCACATACCAAAGACATACATACATATGGACATGTATTACTATAAACAATCGAGGGCATACTTTTATTCTTAAGCATGTCCTATCATATATTTGATCAATGTTCCTGTATGTGTTATCAAATTTTTTAGGTTTCACTAGCAGCATATGCTAAGGGATGAATATTATTCCTTTGTTTTGACCAGGACATGGAATCGATTGTAGAGACTATGATGCAACAACTTTTATCTAAGGAGATCCTTCATGAACCTATGAAGGAAATTGGAGAAAGATACCCGCAGTGGTTAGAAGAGAATAAAGCTAATTTGAGCAAAGAAGAATATGAACGTTACTCCCATCAATATGAACTGATAAAGGAGCTTAATGGTGTTTATGAAAACGATCCTAATAACTTTACCAGGATTGTTGACCTCATGCAAAAAATGCAAGAGTGCGGTCAGCCTCCGAATGATATTGTGCAAGAGCTTGCTCCTGAATTTGATTTATCCAATCTTGGCCAACTGTAAGTGCTCTACTGTTTTCCACAATCTTAACCAACCATCTGTTTGCGATATATACTTAAGGAATTTGGAGTGCCCCAAATTTCTGGACTTTTGTTTTTGGTTGTTGTTTTGACGTAAGAACTTTTGTAACATTCATAGCTAACAAGCACATTTACTGTTGCAGATCTCCTGAGATGCTCAATTCACAGCAAAACTGTTGTATAATGTGAGGCAATATCATGTTCAAGACTGTTTTCCTTCTCTATTTAATAGATATTCTTTTGAGTTTAATAAATTATATTTACCTTCACTTGTAAGTTATCTGACCCTTCAAAGAAACGACATTCTTAATATTTGGAACCTAGTTTCTTGTTAAAGCTTATGTATGATTATTAATAGTACCTGTTTGTTGATGATTCATGAGCATGAGTATGCCATATTGCCACTGGTGGGTCAATCAAAACCTAGTAAGTGCTTCATATCTATCTGCTCATTTCTCGATTGTTCATATAATTTATTATAGTGTTGGGAAAGGAGGAATTTAGGCAAAGTGATATGATAAATATAAAGTATTGTCAAAATAAATAGAGTTAATTGCAACATACATCCTCAAACTATGACTTATTCTAAGTTGGTACATAAACTTTTGAATATATTCATTTCATCCCTAAACTATGACTCTCGTTCTAAAGTTGTCCCCAAATTTTTTAACATTCCAAATTCATCCTCAAACTATGACTCTTATTCAAAATTAGTCCTCAAACTTGTAATTTTAGATCATTCAAAACTTCAAAGTAATGTAGAGTGGAAAAACCTTCCGATATCTTGGCCACGTAGATCAAATATAATTTTAGCTGGCAACCCCTCCAACTTATGTGATTAATAAAATTGTTACTTTGAAATAAAATAATGTTATTTACTCTTAGAAAATTAAATATTATTCCATAAAATTGCCAACATATATAGGGTAATTCTGCTATACAATAACTTAATTTAAGATAGTTTTCAACTTAAAATATTATTTTTTTCAATCTAAAAAGTTATATAAATTTGTATATTTTTTATGCAATCGAAAAGTTGCGTTGCAGATTTAAGATTTATACCCAAAAAAATTATACAAATGTATAATATTTTTTGTTACAACGAAAAATGTTATTAAGATTTTAATATTTTCGATTTCAACCTAAAAAAAATATATTACTGATAAAAATTTTCAATCACAATCAATTTCTACAATTTTTTAATTAATATTAATAAATTATATTTTAGAATTTTCGACATACAACCCTAATTGGTAATAGGATGTTGGGTAAAATTTTCCAAACCTAAGAGCAAACCTTGCGGCGTGCGCAATTTATAAAGCCCACACCCACACCGCTTCTCCTACCATAATCCAAAAACCCCTAAAACCTCCATAATAATCATTTAAAATAGAATAGATCCCTAATAAGCTTCTATCTGCTGACATCAAAATTAAAGTGAAAAAGGAAATGAGGGAAGACGACGCCAGCGGACCTCCAAATAGAGAACTATACGCACTGTTACACCTATCGCCGGACGCCTCCGATGAAGAAATCCGAAGAGCTTATCGGCAATGGGCTCAAGTTTATCACCCTGATAAATACCAAGCTCCTCATGTAAGTCTTTCTCATTCAACAAATATTTTTTTAAATTAACTTTTTAATTCGAAGTTTTACTTGAAGAATTAGCTTCGTTTTTCTATTTTAGATGAAGGAAATTGCTACGGAGAATTTCCAAAGGATATGTGAAGCATATGAAATATTATCTGATGAAAACAAGAGGCAAATATACGATATTTATGGTATGGAAGGTTTAAATTCCGGATTAGAGCTTGGCCCGAAGTTGAATAAAGTGGAAGAGATAAAAGAACAGCTCGAGAAGTTAAGACGCATGAAGGAACAACAAAAGATGTCCCATTTTCTACCTTCGGGTACAATTGTTGCTAATTTGTCTCTGCCTCAGTATCTAGACGGTGATGGCATTATGGGAGGGTATTGCCCCCGTTTTTGTGTTATTCTTAATTTTGATTGATTTGGTTGAATGTTTGTTAGCCCTTTATATTGTCATTACATTAATATAGCATGTTGAGTATTTTTTTTTCTTACTATTTCAGAATGGCTATGACTAGTGAAGTTCAGTCTCAGTTATCAAAACGGAATACTATTTCAATTGGTGGAAATTTGGGAGTCAAAGAAAATTCCGGTGGTGGGGTTGCCTCGGGTGTATTTAGGCATCAGATTTCTTCAGATTCTTCCGTAGAGCTTATAGGATCACTTGGCTTACGTAGTCTTATAGGTGTGCAGACAACACGGTAGGCATTTGGAGTTTACCTGTGTTTGTTTACTCATTTAGTAGTTTTACTCTGTATATCATCTCTCCTTTTTTCCCTTCCAGTCAGTTATCATTACACTCAACCGCTACAATGGCAATTGCAAAGTCTTTACATGATGGCTCGATTAATCTTTCAAATTCCTGGACTCGGCAACTCTCTAATACAGCAAGTGGAAATGTATGCTACTTTTATTTTTAATTTAATCTGGTTGATCATTCTTCATTGTGAAATGCTAACTCTTAGTTTTTTCTGCTCTGTTTGAGGCTTCTAATCTCACTCACTTTGTTTTTGCTCTTCATCACTTCTACAGATAGAACTTGTTCTAGGTCCAGAATCATCTATTGGGGTTGGATGGAAAATGAAAGACGAAAATATGTCTGCTGGTGGAGATGTGAAGGTAAGTCAATTTTCACTATTTAAGTTTCCAAATTTATGGCAGAATAACTAACAAAAATGATATCCTGATGGATTTAGAACCTACCTTTGATACACCAAAAGACTTGTGCAATTATATTACTTAATTTGTTCCGTTCATGGTCTAGGGTAGACCCTTAAAGCTACATTAGTTTTTTACACTTTTGGCTCAAAATAATCAATAAGCATCCCTGAATTTCTAGTGAAATGTTGTGATCTTTGGTCCATTTGTGCACTAGAGCTTGAGTTTGAATGGATATAACTTTGAATTTTTATGCAAAAGCTGATGGAATTTGGAGCTATAATCAGTGGGCAGATTGATTCAGCTATTATAATTTGCTGTTTCAGCCTCTTATGGAGATAAGACAAATGAACTGTCTTTAGCGAATTCTATTGATACATATCATTGTACTGTACTTGTAAAGCAGCATTCTTGCCTTTTTCAGCCTCTTATGGAGATCAGACAAATTATGTCTTTAGCAAATTCTATTGATACATATCATTGTACTGTACTTGTAAAGCAGCATTCTTGCCTTTCTTTCAACACCTTCTATTCAAAACCTTACGTTTTGTTTATTTCTTTTTGCCAGCATGATGCCACTTGTTTTTTTAATACTTTCGTTCATGTTGAGAACTGCAGTTTGGCACACATTCTTTTGGGGTCTCTGCTCGTTATACCCGTCGTTTTTCCTCAAAATCTCAAGGTCGTATTGTAGGCAGATTTGGAAGGTATGTTTGCATAACCAATATGGATGATGAATAAGTGAGGCAAGTTAATGTTTATTCTTCTTTGCTGTTTATGCTGATAAATGAAAGATATTGTACCTTTTTAGATAAAAATCTTGTGCAATGTTTAGGATGGAATGTTTCTCTACTCTTTGTATGAGGTTGTTTAGTGCTCTCATGTAGCTGTGGCACCTTGGAAGAAATCAAAATATCAAATTTACTTCTTAAATTGAGTAACTATTTTTGGTTAGCTTGAACAGTGGCTACTAAGCTTATGGTCTGCACTGACTACTATTTTTTCTTTTCCAGCACTGCTCTTGAGGTTGAAGTTGGTGGTGGGAGGAAAGTGTCAGATTTTAGTACTGTTCACATGCTTTATACAATTGGAATTCGGGTAATTACATGTGTTTTGCACAAGTAACGCCATATTTTGCTAAAATCTCATTTATTCGTAAATATAGCTATTTGGAATGTTGTGCTCCTGCAACCAACCAAGGGTTACCATTTTGTTGTCCCTATCGTGTTATATTGACATGTTTAGGTTATGTTTTTATGTATGAAGATGGTGATATTGTCACATAGGGTAAAAATAAAATGGGCCTTTGAATCTTTTCTTTTGTTGCCCAGGGTATCTTTTGGAGATTTGAATTGCACCGTGGAAGCCAAAAGTTAATTATTCCTGTAAGAATATCATAATCTCTGACTTGTTTCCAAGGTTATTTATATTTTAGGCATGGATTTGCCTTTTATATATGTTTTGTTTTTTCATTTGACATTTTGACGTGTGGTACTTCCTTGTTCTACTGCTTATTTTTAGGAGTTTTGACAAGAACGGGATTCATGCTTGTGTAGAATTTGATATAGGATAAAATTGTCTATCCTTGCATAATTGTCAGTTCTCAGAAATGGAATGTTTGAAAAGTGCACCATGAAACACACTGTAAAACTTATCATGATATTATAATTTAGAAAACTCTCCGGTTGTCAACTTTTGGGATGAGTCTAAAATACAATCGGCTAATATAAGGCTAAAAAATGGCAGAATTCTGTAGTAACCGAAAAAGTTGCCAAGAGCATAACTTTTTTGAGTAATCTGGGTAACATTTTAGGTTGAAACCGAAAATATTACGTTCTCCATAACAAATCATATAAATTGCATAACTATTCCTGTTGTAACCTAAAAAGGTATTGTCAAGTCATTCTCGGTTGTACCTGAAATTATTACCAATTGTGTAACTATTTTCAGTAGACATGTAAAATTTTAGGTTAAAACCCGCCGCAATGTAACATTCTCGACCAAAATTATTACCAATTGTATAACTTTTTAGGTTGGATACGGTAGCATTTTAGGTTAAATTCTGTCGCAAATTAGCCTTAGGTTAGACCACCGCACAGTAGAATTATCCCAACTTTTTGTAGAAACTAAAAGATACATTACAAGTGCATATGGCATTTAGTTTTCTTCATGTTGAATTAGATTTGAATGGTATACACTTGAATATATCATAATTGTCACTGGGAAATCATATCTGTGTTATACACCAAAAAAGTGCATACGGTTGAACTTTTAGATCCATGTATTGAAGTGTAATAACCGTTAGCTATATGATGTTTGCCTGTAAGCATGGTGTTAGGAAAAGAAATTGTATACTTAATGCAGGAAGACATTTAGGAATTTATTTTTTTCCTGTTGGGAATTTTTAAATAGATATTGGTCTCTCATATTGATTACAGTTCCTGCATTTAATCTGTTGCTTATGTGTGTTATATGCAGGTTTTGCTTTCCAGTCATTTTAATTATGCATTAGCTACCGGTGCTTTCATAGTTCCAACATCAATTTACTTTATACTCAAGGTAACCTCTTCCCATTTCAGGTTAGATAAATTAAACTGGATTTTTTGGATGTTAGCTGCATTCATACTCTTTAGTTCTTTAAACAAAACCTATTACTTAAGTTATTTTGTACCCAGTTCAAGCTAAATATCATCTGCATAGGATAAAATGGATGTGTCTACATTTTCCTTTTCTGTTTATAATTGTATTTATTTATATGTAAATGGCTACCTTTTTATATACACGTGCAGAAATATTTTTTTAAACCATATTACCTTAAGAGGGAAAAGCAGAAGACCTTAGAGAATATGGAAAGGACTGCCAGCGAGGTATGTTTACACGAATGTGTTAGGTGTTCCTTATTTTATATGCCCTTTAGCCTCTTTGGTACTTCATCAAGATGCTTGAAATCCTCTGCTGTTGTGCTTATGTTTTATTTCCAGTGTTGTCAAGGGCACTAGATGCACTCAAGGCGCACACACACACACACACACAAAAAATCTCACCCGAGATTTTATTTCCATGTAGTATTTCGCCCTAATTTTCAAAGTCATGCTTTGGTGAATGAATTTCTTAATGTTTCACCAGAGAGGTGATGACCTTTAATAATTTTGAGATTAAACATTGACGTTGCACCTACTTTTATAAGCATTTGAGTTGTCTTGTTCAAACAATTTGAGAATATATTTTACTTGATGTGTATAAAGGTACGAGAGGCTAGGAAAACAGCCTCAAAAGCTCAGCAGTTGTTGGAGAATGTGGCCAACAGGAAAAGAAATAAGCAACAGGAAACAGGTGGACTAGTCATTAATAAGGCAATTTATGGAAGTCGTAAAGCTTTAAAGAAAGGGGATGAACTCACGGAAACAGACGATGAATTAGCCTTGCAAGTGTTGGATGTAACATTACCTCTTAATTTCCTCGTTAACGATTCAGGGCAGCTTAAGGTTTGTTTCTGTTAGATACGATTTGTCGACTCTATGATCTTATGTCACCAGTTTCGCTGTGATAATTCCCTATGTTTCGAGAATTTCTGCATATATGCATCTGAAAAATCAACAGTTGATGGATTCCATTAACATGACTAGAGTTTATGTTTTGATGCAGCTTCATGGTGGAATAAAGAAGTCGGGCATTATGGGCTTCTGCGACCCTTGCCCTGGGGAACCTAAGCAATTACATGTTGAGTACACTTACCATGGCAAGAGATATGAGGTAATACGAACCAATCACACTTTCTTATTCGCCTAACCCAAAATTATGTTGGATAAATGGGATTGACCAACTTGAAATTTATGAAGCAGGTTGTTGTGGATGATTATGAGGAATTGCAAATACCCTAGTTGGCACACACAATCTGAAATCACAAAACTTTCACTTGATTACCGTGTTGACCTCTAGAAATTTTTTGCATACCAGAAGTTTGAATCTTAGAAATTTATATCCAATCTTTGAGAAACCGAATAAGAGCATTACAGGGATATAGTTAATTTGGTGTAATTTTGTGATTGATGAATAAACTCCATATGTTGTGTAAGTTAAAGATCTGGGAGATTCCTCTGTTTTGGTGTAATCACAATAAGAGAAGGGTTTGTGGATGTTGGTATCGGTATTTATTAGATGTCATAGTTTCAAGATAATTTATTTTGCCCCAAAATTATATTGTTTAACCTACTAGAGGTTCAAGTTCTTCCACAAATCTCTATTGCTTTGAAAGTGAATCTTTAGATTTTTGGGGTACAAAGTCTTATGGAAGTAAGTTAATATGATATTCACTATTCAAAATGATAGGGATTGTAGGGTTATGCCTTGTCCAATGTAACAAACCATTAATGAATTGAAAAATGCTAAGATAGTGGATAAAGGATGATATTATTTATTAAAGCTATAGGTTTCGAAATGTAGAGAGTATTCATTCATGGTCCATACATCACAATAAAAGAGATGAAGTTGACGTTTCAAAATTTCTATTCACCGTCGTTAGTTGTTCAGATGTACCAACACGAAGGAAGATACAAGTTATAAGTCACTTATGAAGGCACCAATCACGTTTTCTTTCCTAAAACAATCTTAAGGTTTTAAATTTGTAATCACCATAAAAGACCAATTTTTTTATGAACGGAGTGGTCGTTGGGATTGATCAACGGTCTTCCTTTAGCCATAAGATTAATATAGTTCGATTGTAAATTGATTTGACGGTTCATAATGGTGGATTAAAAATTTTAACTTTTTAGTTTTGATTAGGATTTGAAGAGGTTAGAAGGTTATCTAACAAGTTTAAATCAAAGGGGGAAGAAGAGAAGAAGATGATGAGGAAAATTGTGATAGAAATGACAAGAGGCGATGATCTAATAAATAGTAAAAATTAAAACTTGAAAATAAGATATGTTAATCTTTTAGCCAAATGTAACATTTTTACCATTGGGATGATCGGTAACCAATCAATTCATCAAAATTTTGGGCTTTTACAATAGTTTCTAATTTAGAAAATTAGGGTTTTCTATGGAAAGAAGAATTTAACGTGTAACTTCCATATTTTTTTAATAACAATTAGGGATGGTAAAGGATTCGGGTTTTTTGGTTAACTCGATTCGATCCAAAAATTATATGCACTTCACTTGAATCCGATCTAACCTGAAAAATATATACTTCACTCGGTCTGATTCGATCTGAAAAATATATATCCCTCATCTGATTTCAACTCTACCTAAATTTTTAATTACAAACCCGACCCAATATAAAATAATCCATATATTTGTTTAAAAAAATTATACTATTGCCCTCGAGTTATGTCGAAGTTTTTTACCATCTACTCGAACTCGATCCGAACTTAATTTCTTTTTTGAAACAAATCAAATCAGATCAAAATTTGATATGATTTCGAGTTAAATAGTCATCTTTAACAACGACTAACGATATTAACATAATAAAAACCAATAAAATTTAACGAGTGCAATATAAATTTTAAAAATTCAATAACAAAAATGAAAAGCGTCCGAGAGGTTTAATAATAATAATATAAGCAAAAGGAAAAGAATCCGAAGAATATGAGAGAGAAAATATAGAAAGAAAGTGAATAGAAATAGTAGAAAAAGAATGATGTCCACACAAACCACTAATCAGCTTTCTCTCCTCGTTGAGGAACAGAAAGAGAGTGCCAAAAACCAAAACATAAAAATCTTCACTAACAGTTCCATTCCATCCATTAAATTCCTTTCTCTCCTCTTTGTTTTTCTTGTCTTATCTCCAAACCCAAAGTGATAATCTATTTGTTTTCATCTCTTTTGTCTAATACATCTTCTCTTGGGATTCTTTTGTTTTTAATATCATCTTCAACGTGATCTGGTTTATACAGTTAGATTATTTGGGGGGAGAAACAAGTGCAAAGTTTAGATTTTTATTTTATTTGTATGTATCCCATGGTGGAATGCTTTTATAGTTTATTTGTTCCTGGTGAGTTCTTTCTCCCTTTACATTTTGGGGTTCGGTTGTTTCTTTTGTTTTTTATGTCTTCACATTTTGTTTCTTTCTCCCTTCACATTTTGTTTTTTATGCCTTCTTTGTTTAATGCTTCATGGGTTGCATTTTTATGTTGAATTTGTTTTCGTAAATGTTGATGTGCTTACAATTATTGGATTTTGACTTGAAGTTCTGTTTGCTGGGTTGATTCTGTTTCTATGTATTTATAATCAGTGATTTTCTCTCTTTTCTCTATGCTTATAAAAACTGAAGACAATGTGGTTTCCATGGCTTCTGCTAAAACTTTCCCTTTAATTTTACTATCATTCATCTCCATGGTGTAATCACGCGCCAGATAAGGGAAAAAATATTTTTTTCTAGATGAAGGAATGAAAGAACTTTTTCCCTGCACATCCCTTAAGCTACCTGAGTTCAATGGCTCTTATCTAATCGTGTATTAAACTCTCAGAGTCAGGGATTTAAATAGCAGTACGCAATCCGAATAGCGGACGTTATATAGCGGTAAAGGTTTCGTTGTAACCGTTATTTCATAACTGCGACCGCAATCACAATAAACACGACCGCAGCTGCAATTTAAATACCTCGTAGCATCCTTCCTTTTATCTTTTTCCTAGGAAAAGTTATCTTATGGATGAAGTTTAGTTGAACCTTATATTTTATCTATTAGAATATATCATTTCAACGTTAAACGTTATCATTCTGGGGGATTCCTTTACACCATATTATGAGATAACATGTCCTACATACAGTACTGTTCAATCCGAAATTGTTGAGAAAATGCAATCTTTATTTGTGATGCTATATTTAGTTATATATTCTTTGATTTATATGTTCAGATCTTTCACTGTGCCTTCAGACTCTTTGCTTCGTAGGACCAAATCATCTGTATTTTTCATCATAATGAATAATACTATCTGGCTACTTATTACAATTCATACCGATTCAGCAAGTTTACACGTTCGAAATATTAATGATGTTTTAAACTGTTCTATGGCAAAAGTATGCAAGTAGATAGTAGAATTACCGTAAACATCTTGCAGTGAATATTATCAATTTGGTATTTCTATTTAAATTTGTTGTTTCAAATGGAAATAATTGTCAGCAAGGAGTTGACCTATTTGCATGCCATGAAATTGATGAAACTTTTTCAACGCATATCTCGTAGTTATTAAAACAGGAATTTCTAGACACGTGTTTGATGTCGCGGAAGGCATCTTCCCAAAGTTGGCTTACTTAATGGCAGTCGGTTTCGCAATTTCACATCCTTGTTGATTATTATTAGTGGTACTGCACTATCTTATAATCATACTTTCTCAATGGAAACTGCAGAGATGGAGAGCAAAGGACTGTGTAAAACATCATTTCAAGACTTAGTTATTTGAGGATGCCAGATCTGATATCAATTGATGTATTTGTTCAATTTTTATGAGTAAAAAATGTTAGCAGAAGATTTTGATATGAATTCAATGCCACCAGCCACTGATTCGCCTAAAGATATTTTCAAGCAGACAATGCTTGATCAGGAAATCGTTCAAAAAACAGGTACAAGGATATCCTTTGTGACTCTTTGCATGTAGTTTTCCATATATTTATGTTAAAAAATGACATAAGAGATGCTTTGGATTCATTGCCTATGAATAATTTCCCTTTCATAGGTCGTCTTTAGCCGCCTTTGTGAGGAAGGTTTTGGCTTGAAAATTTTGTTCTTGCCGGTTTTGTTCCTTTCAAATGAAATGAGTTATTGTGATTTAAAATTATATTTCAACTCATTGTTTTTATGATAAGGCGGAATGTGAGGCCATGGATGCCCAAATTTGTTGCATATATCTATCCCTACTCTCGATGCTTATACTCTAGATGTCTGTTTTCAGGTTCATGAGCTCCATCGTTTATATAGTGTTCAGAAAACTCTAATGAGGGATCATCAGACATCCCTGGAGCTTGAAACGTACAATTCATGGAAATCAAATGCACAATCATTTCCTCAAGAAACTGGACTCCCAACAAATTCAGTTCACATGGTAATTGAAGCTACTATCTGAGATGTTAGAAGTTGTCCTCTAATATTGTTGCTGCTTTAAAAGGTTGTTTTTGTGTTGTTCGTAATCTTTCGAACAATGTTGTAAATCTATCTTTTTGTATACAGCAGGGCATAAGACATGTTAGTTAAATTCGTTAGGCTTTACCCATAAATTACTTACTGTAGGAGGTTTCTTCCTGCCGCTTTTGGCTTTTGGAATAGAATTCCAACCATCCAATAAAGAAAAAAAGTTGAACTTCATGGATGCTTGAGTAGTTTTTGGTTCACTTATCAGTTTTCCTCTTCCTTGAGTGTTGTGAAAAAAATGCCATAAATCTTAAAGCTTTTTAAGGTTAGAAATATGATGTGGTGTAATCATGAAGATTTGGTGAAACTTATTTTATCATAAGAAAAATCTACTTGAAAGTTCTTTTCTTTTGCATGCAGTATCATGACTTTCATCTTCTGGAAAGTTTCTGTTCTTTTGTACAGGATGAGTTAATTGATCTAATACCTTTTCTCTGTGAGATTTTGTCCAGCTGGACTCGAGAGTGTCTTCTAGTCTGGAGTTATCGGACGGTTGGCAGGGCAATAGCTATAAATTTCAGCCAAGGCCTTTCAATCTTCAACTTACACCTGATCAGTTTATGACTCCTGGGGATAATAATCTTCCAAAGGGTAAAGGTTGGGGATCACTTAAAGGAACACATGGATGTAAATTCTCTCCATGGTGATCATTTCTCAGATCCACTGGAGTTGAGGCTTTCTCTAAGCCTTGGAGTGGCCAAAGGAAAAAAGGAAGATAAAGACAGAAGTGGGTATGACAAGAAAACTAATGCCTGCTCTAGAATTGCCATTGATTTGGAAGAATCTACTAAGCAGACCACAAATGAGGATGAAAAACATTCATCTTTTGATGCTGCTGAAGTTACTTATTCTGGAAGAAACCACGATTCACAAGTTTCAATAATTTCTGATCCAATCTCTTCAGGATGCATGAAAATGATTTATCTCATGAGATAGCAATGACTAGCTCCTTTGTTGGAGATAGCAACTCGCAAGAGCGGAGCTATTCTGTTCAAAGTACTGGTAATTTGC